GGCGCGGGGCTGGGGGGGCGGCAAGGAAGCAACGAGGAGATGGAAAACTTTAGTTGTGTTTCAGCAGCGAGGCGTTTGTAGCCCCCCCCCCCACCCCCCCCGCACCGACAGTAGTTTACACACAGTTATCGCTGCCCCAGGAACAATTGTGGAAACTTGGACATCCCTGGGATGAAGAAAAAGAGATTTTTCTCAACTGGTTCAGTTCAAAACTATGCAAATATTTAACAGTCCTGCACTTTAAGCCGTGCTATATTTTTCCCGGGAGAAGACTGACCCATGCATGTCTGCCATGCGTATTAACCGCTGGGATTTACTTTTAAAGAGGAATGGTGGGACGCTGACATTTCGCCACGCTCTATTCTCAGGGTCTTTTGTAAGATCAGGGGCGTATGCTGGCATAAAAAGCTGTAAGGATTCGTCACTGCGTTCAAGATTGTTCAGGTTAGAGTTGCAATAGCACTATACATCTATAAACTATATTTTGCCCTTTTTTTTTTTTTTTTTTGGTGTTTGCAGCCATCAGTTTTCTGTTAGGAAATCAGACCACGGTGAAAGGTTTATAACATTAACAGAAAAAATAGTGACCTTAGTGTTATGCCATTTAGCACAGAATTGCAGCAACAGAAGTAGAAAATTCTTAACTGCAGTATACTTAGCTTTGGCAATTCAATAGGGAAATGACCTTGAAAAAGCCACTGGCTAAGAGGGATGTAGGCTCCACAGATGTAAATAACTGTACCTGCTGAAAATGTGGTCCATGTGGACATGTATTACTGATACGGTCATCAGTTAGCAGTGAGCTTTCTTTAAGAGTTTATATTGCTCATAAACTTCGGAACAAATGCTTTGGATGGATGTTTTCCAACTTTCCGAGTTACTTGTAATTTTTAAAAGTAACTTTTTTATTGATGCAATAATTCACTTAGGCCATCATTAAAACATCTTCAGCTGTCCAAGCATTTGAATGTGTGCATAGGGTCAAACGGGTGGACTGAAGGACTGTCTGAAAAAAACCCGTAAGACAGTTCTTTCTTTTTATACCTAGGAAAGTTTTTCAATTTGTCAAAGTCCTGCACATAAATCAGAAGATTTTGACCCATCATTCACTGTTACTGCATATCTCAAGGATGACTAAAAGAAAAAGATGTATTTGTTAATTCAAAATGATGAATCGGTCCTGGAATGGTTTCTGCAAAACCACAGCCCCCTTGAAAAGAAATTTCTGAATCACACAACACTACTGCAGCTAGAAGAATATTGGACGCTGGCAGAATTTATCAACTTTGTGAGATGAACCCCAGAATGGGCTGCGTACAAGAACCATCACATCTGATGAACCTTAGAAGTGCTCGCTTGAGCTTAAATACCAAGAAGACAGCCTCCAGAGAAATCGGCACGGGCACTGCCAAGTTGTAAGGGCGAGGAAGTTCCACGTACGGAGACGGACAGGGAGAAAGCCACGGCCCGCTGCCTCTAGCACTGTCGTAAGAGAAACGCACACAAACTTAACGGCCAGAGACTTGGCATGGGTGCACGCAGGAGTTCTGCAAGGAGCTCCCATTACGTACAGAGGGAGAGTATAGCTCAGCCAGAAAGGGCCTGCTAAAGGCTTGCAGGAAGCTTCTGAAAGTGCAAAGGCTCTGGTCCCCTTCTCGGTTCCCATGAATGGATTATCCAGGGGTGGCCTAAGATTGCCAGGGCTGGTAGACACCCAAGCTGGCCTTGGAAATGCCACCCAAACTGTCTTCTCTTTGAGCTTTGCTGTGTCCTCAGCAGCCCAGGTCAGCTGTTGAACAGGACTACATTTTACCTTGGCTGGCCATCTCACTGCCTTTCTTCTTTCTCCATTACACCAGCCTTAGGCATTTCATGCCTGATTTTAAAAAGTTTTTATCGCTCCGAAGTCTTGCTTTAACTGAATTTTCAAACCTCAGGACTACCTTAATTGAGAACTTGCCCTAAACACGGAGCAAAGTTATGCGTGCAAGTTATGAGCTGTTCTTTCTGTTTTCAGAAGAGGAAAGGTTTTGGTATGGGTAGGAAACATTTCTTCCCAGAAGCTAGTGAAAAAAAAAAAAAAAAAAAGGATTGGACAAAATTCCTCAAAAAACTGTCAGAAAATGAGTCATGAAACTGAACTGAATGTGCATGACTACTCACTGAGTGTCTTTGTCTGGTGTTAAACACTCCCGCTCCCTCCACTCCTCATCTCCCCCCCCCCCCTTTTTTTTTTTACGCTTGTGAAATTTTTCCCTTTTTGTTTTTAGCAATACTCCTGATATATTCCAATGTCAGCAAGATCAGAATCAGCTCTGGGAAACTGTATTCTTTATGTAGAGTTTCAACAGCAGCGAGGCTGTCAGATAACAGAGGCTGTCAGCAAGGAGCGTGCCTTATGCAGAGCACTTAAGAACCTGAGGCTTAGGAGAGGAAGAGCGTTGCTTTTTTAGTCTCTTCTGTTGAACTGCTTAAGTGCATGCTTTTATGTGCATTTTGGGATGTTTTGCTGGATGAAAGCCTGAGCTGCCAGAGCTGTTGGTAGTGAGCTTTTATCAGCCGTGCTACTGTCCTCACCCTGCTGCGTGATAACAAGCATTGCGATGGGTTTAACATGCAGGCCAATGTTCTGCTGATTCCATGATTTACAGACTTGTAGTCCTGGAGGATACATGGTGGTCATCCTGTCCCCACTCTCTGGAGAATTTCTGTATTTTAAATTATAAGTCACTGGATCAGAACTTTTCCACTGAGAGGGATGCCCCTCGCCACTGGTATATAGGACCACACTTTCATGTATGTGTTTGTTATTTGGCCTGTTTGTTCCTTGCATCAAAGGAGTAGTTACACCAGGAGAGGTGGTGAGATCCCCTCACGTTCCTGCCTTCTCACAGCCTCTAGCTAGGAGTGATTTCCTTTTACAAGGAAGCGCTGCTGCCATAACACATTTCACAATAGCCTGAGGGCTAGAAGAAGTAATCCAAAATTTGAGAGACCCGAAGTCAGTTTTTGCCTGTCTGAGGTGTGCTAATGCGTTTGGACTCACTCCTGGGAAAGCGTATTTTGGGAAGTGCCCTGTTCTGCTGCTGTGCAGTAAGTGTATTTCGAGGGGTCCAAGGCAATCTCTTCCCTTCTTTTGGGATTCTGACTAGGTTTAGATGTAAGACGCCAAGTTGCTCAAACAAGGGCAGTTCTGGGCATGACCAAAGTAAAACTGTAGGTACTGAGGAGAGGTTACATGACAGGGAGGTGCCTTCTGAGTTTAGACATGTTCCTGGTTGGGTGGCAGCTGGGCAGGGATTACAATTTTGGATTTAAATGCCTGACTCTCATCTCAATCCTGCGGTAGGTGCGTACATCTTTTATTAGAGGTAGTCCCTGTAGGTCTCAATCAAGATAGCTTGTAACCGTCTTGGCTGGAGAGGCAAATAGATTGAAAGCTTTAATTCTGCCAGACCTTGCGTAAATCAAGTCACCCTTTTCTCCACCCTTTTCAATATCAAATCCCTTGACAAATACAGAGCTGGACCATGAACGCTGATCAATGTCAACACTGTTCTGTACCATTCTGCCAGTTCTAGCCTATTACTAACAGTTCAGGTGTCTTATAGAAATATCAGACTGTGAGAACTAGTCTCATTAATGGGACTTAAACACCCACTCCTTGAGGCTCACTTACGATGGGACTTTTTGTCACCGAGCTTCACTGTCTAAGCGTTTCATGGCCAATCCTAGCTTAGAGTTATAGCATTGTGATAGCTGAGATAGCGTAAAGTAAAAAGCAAGGTGAGGTAGGTCCATGGGGTGAAAAAGCAGCTCTTATTAAACTGAGGCAGTTGGAAAAATAGAATAGCTTTCCCCAAAGTTTGAAATAAATGTGTGAATCTCTACATTTTATTCCATTTAGGTGTCTAAAGTAGATCTGATTCAGTGCCTTGTGAAGGGGGCCGCCTTCTTCTGCTTGCAGTTGGAGGGGGAAGCCAGACAACAGACAAAACTGAACACCGAGCATAGGTGACACTCACCCCTGGCTTCAAGTTGTGAGAGAAGCGTGTAGAGAAGAACCTGCCCCACTATTTTACATGAAGCTGTAGTTGCTTCCATAGGCCTGCCTAATTTCTGCAGCAAATCTAACTTTTTATGTAGCAGAGGAAAAGAGCCAAGCCAAGCCAAACATTTTAGATTAATCAGTGCAGAGAGTCTTCTCTGGAGGATGATTCAGAGCAGGAACCTCTCTTAGCTCCTCTGAATTGCCTCTACAGAAGACATTTTTATTTTGTTGCAATAAACTTAGGAAGATTAGTGTCACCAGGCTAAAATTAGCCTTTATTAATTCTCCCCTCAGTTGTAAAACCCTGCACAAAGAAAGCACCTCAGTTTTTAATGCATAACTGCTGGTTCAGTATACTCACTGGAGGTCTTCAGCTCTAATTTTCATGAGCACAGTGTACTAAAAGACAACACCGGTAGTGTGTCTGGTGTTTGACCTTGTTCCACTTGCATTTTCTTTTTTTCAAAAAAACCACATGTATTTTTCACGTATTTTTTAAAATAGAGTTAATACAGCTTAACAGCAATAGTTTTATCTCTGCAGGTGGGGGAACAATCACACCCTGTAAAAGTAATGGACTTACCATTCTTTGGCTTCCACTACATAGGAGTGTGTGGTCTGAGGTCCCAGAGCTGCAGGGATGTTCTGAACTTTTCAGTCAGTGTATGCCTAAGTGAGCTTTTTGGATAGGTGGGAAAAGGCTTCTCATTTACTAATACATCAAAGTTTCTGTTAAGAATTTATTCCAATTTATACAATGAACAAGTAGGGTGGGGAAAGATAAGATACAAATATAGAAATTCTAGAGTCAGATTAGAAGGACCTTATGCAATAGCTCTCATAAGGAGGCAGGTTAAATTTCTTTGGGAATTAAAAGAAAAAAAAGCCCATAAACACAAATCTGGGGTTAGTTCTGTATGTTAGTTGTGGTCTTGATGAAAAACAAGATGCTGAAATATTTTGCATCACAGAAATGAATCTCTAGCTCATGATTATACATCTAAGGTCTGCAGTAACAAGAGGCAGGTTGGAATAGGAACATCTCACACTTTTTATTTATTTATCCTCATAACTCTACCATGATGATGGAAAGTCTACTCTTGTTAAGACCAATAACATCTTCCCCATTCCATAGAGGGGAAGAAGATACATCAAAGTAGATGACCTGAATCAGGTGTAAATTTTCCTACGTTTGTTGCAGACAATGAGACTAAGTTTCTGGACTCCTCTTCTTGCCTAAATTCTCATTTGTAGGTTGCTGTTAAGGGATCAGCTGGGATGGTTTGTCCGCATTTCAAATGAAATGGAGAACTTAAGGAATCTACCCCTACACTGAAGATCACAGTTCAGCGCCAGTGCCCATTCAGTGCCTGTTGTCCAACAATGCTGTAAGCTACTGACAGTATCAGCTGTGGCAGAGCTTCGGGATGTTTCTCAGAACTGTCAAATCCACAAAATCCAGAGAACACTTGCCAGCAGAGTTGCTTGGGGCAGATTTACACCTAAGTATTGGAGAGCCTGTATATATTCATGCTTCCTTCCACTCCTTTCATGGATGAAGTAAGCATATTTGCCAAGCATCTAGTATTTTACCCTAAGCCTAAGAATGCATTTTCTTATAGTAAAAGTACATCTGTTCCAGAGAAAGATACTACTATAAAATATGTAAGAAACCAACAGCTTTAATTACTTAATTACAAGCTTGCTTGAGTCTTGTAACAGCTAGAGAAATGGTGAAAAGAACTAATTAATGACAAGCCTAAATCAAAATAAGAACAAACCAAACCATTCTACTTGATTGTCTGTGGTAGCTAGAGCTGGATGACTTCAGTAAGCTATTTAAGAATGCATATATCCAGGCATGCATGACCTAAATGATACTTACTCTCTAGGGAATGGCCTCACTCTCAAAGTTTGGATCCAGACCTGAGTTCCCGCAAAGTTTAGGCTTTTATAGAGCTCCTTTTAGACACAAGGACTAGTACTGATTGATTTATTTTCTTTTTTTTTTTTAAATGAATTCATCAAGGGGATATTTTTCTGTGGAAAATATCTTTGTAAAAATCCTTGGACGTTGTAAAAGAAAATAACTCTCAAAAGAATTCAAGCCTAGCCTGACCAATTTTTATTTTCAAAAGAGATATTTCCATTTTTAACATAGGAAAGGTATCTTGAAGAGCACATATGAACAGCGAGCTAACTTCTTGCAGAAGAAAAAAACTCCAGAGAAGTTTCCATGGGCACTAATCATTAAGATCCAGTTTTGAAAAGCCATATGAATCCCTCCCTAAATGGCACTAATTGTAAAAATATTTTTAACATACAAATATATTCTCAATGTACAAAGAATATACAGTGTCAGCTAGCTAGCTTCTGCAGGCCAATAAGCAAGAAAAGGAAAATTCAGCAGCTCATCTGTAAATAAAGCATGCACCTGTAAAAAGGATTAAGCGTTTTTTTGAATGTAGCCAAAATTCTACACTGAGACCTGCTTCGGAGAAAGCAATCATTCTGTATGGGCTTAATTACACACAGAGATACATCATTTTCTACTATAAAGAAGTTAAATGCAATTGATAATAGTGGAACCGTATTGATGCTCATCCCTTTCTTTTCCCTCTCCCATATTTTGGAAGAACTGCATAGTATTCTATGCTGTTCAGCATTGTAAGAGCTTTTTAAAAAGTTGAAAAACCTGACAAAATGAAGTTGAAAATAGGAAAAAGCTGATGTTTTATTATTTTATTATATATCTCTTGTTTGATAAGAAATCTGTGATATCATTTTAGAAAATAATATTCCAAATCATACATACATTTCACAATTGAAACTTATCATCTGCATTTAAGAAAACAGCAGCATAAGCCTGTCAGAAGGCTAATGTAATTTTAATGTACCTCTGCATATGTTCTGTTATTCTGGTTTACAAACCCATATTAGGTGCAGCAGGAAGAAGCATTTTTTTATGGGTTAGGCTTTAAAGTAGCAAATAAGCAACATGGAGAGTCAAGTCATTAGGTGAGGAGAATTAGAAAAGGATACGAATTACACTCACTTGCCTTCTATAAGAGCTTGCTATGTAGTTAAAGTGCCAGCATAGTGTCTATCGTTTTAAATATCACAATGTTCACACAGATAATACACAGAAATAGGCAGGGTTGCATTTACTACACCCCATTTTTAATAAAAAACATTTCTCATAAACAGATATTTCCAATTCTTTTGCATAGTCTTGTATGAAAACACTTATGATCTTTGCTTTTACACGCAACCATGTGTAATGAATATACTAGAATTGCACAGCAACACTTAAAAATCTACATCATTTAGAAATGGAAATTTTAGTTATCTAAAATCTTTTTTTGCAGTGTCTCACTCTTGCTGCTTAGTAAGTTGGTTAAAATTCAAATACTATAGAAATAACGCTTCAAAGAAAACCAATCAAGTGCCATTTACAAAGGTACAAAATATACAGCAAAGTTAACCTCTCATTAAATAAAATATACATATTAGCTGATGTTTCAAATCATTAGGTAACACCTTATTTTAAGGGATAAACTTCTAGGGAGCTTTCCCCCCCGTATAGGAGAATTACACAACTGTGCCTTTCTCTGTATGCTTATGCAATGAGTCACATTCATTTTAACTGCTGATAATAAAGGACTGAGTTGATCATTCTGCATATTGAGGGCCAAAAATGATCACTGGTGGACTTGCAGTAAAGTCAATGAGAAACCCTAGAGATCAGTTTCACTGAGGTTATCACAGCCTGTTTAAATATTTATAGTAATAACGCCAATCATTATCACCATGGTGGCTATTAAACCTCCACGCAAATTCTCCTGTAATCTAGCAATCGACGTACCATTAAAATAAAGTGTTGCCAACATACTCCGCATTCACTCTGTTGTTAAAAGAGTGAGCTATGAAAACTGCCTACTTGTTCTTAAACGATCTCCCTGAAAATAAATGTGTTTTAGAAAAAATAGCATGTTCCCACTTAAACCAGCCATTGTAATTTAACAGTTTGGAATGAATGGTAAGTGCTTGTATGTTAGGTTAGCAAAGAGGTATAACACCAGCTACAATTACAGCAGTGTCGCGTCCCTGACATTTACTCTTGGTCCAGGCGTATATTAATCATGGCAAAGCATCGGCCTAGGCTCTGAAAGAATGGTACGACGAAAACATCTGTCAGGCTCTTCCATATAGTTTGCACTGAAGGCAAGACCATGAGACAGGTTTTCACAAAAGGCACCACGATCCTGTAAAAGAGAAAATGGAAGAACTGAAGATTGCTGCTGCTATAGCACAGGGAAATCAGGATAACCAAACACAAGTGTGAGATCTTAATGGAAGAGGAAGTGATTGCACAACTCTAATTCTCTAAACAAGTTGATTTTATACTCTCGTGCTCATTCTCCATCAATTTTGTTTGCTCACAGCCTCACACCTTGTGCTGGTTTTGGCTGGGGTAGAGTTAATTTTCTTCATCGTAGCTGGTAAGGGGCTGTCTTGGATTTGTGCTGGAAACAGTGTTGATAACCCAGGGATGTTTCCGTCACCGCTGAGCAGTGCTTACCCAGAGCCAAGGGCTTTTCTGCTTCTCCCCCCACCCCACCAGCGAGGAGGCTGGGGGAGCACAAGGGGTTGGGGGAGGACACAGCCGGGACAGCCGACCCCGACTGACCCAGGGGAGATCCCAGACCATAGGATGTCATGCTTCCCATATAGAGCTGGGGGAAGAAGAAGGAAGGGAGGATGTTCAGAGTGATGGCGTTTGTCTTCCCAAGTCACCGTTAGGCATGCTGGAGCCCTGCTGTCCTGGAGATGGCTGAACACCTGCCTGCCCATGGGAAGTGGGGAATGAATTCCTTCTCTTGCTTTGCTTTACCTATTCAACTGCCTTTGTCTCAACTCCTGAGTTTTCTCACTTTTACCCTTCCAGTTCTCTCCCCCATCCCAGCAGAGGGGAGTGAGCGAGCGGCTGCGTGGGGCTGAGCTGCCGGCTGGGGTTAAACCACGACACACCGGCACAAGCAGAAGCACCATGATGCATGTGGTCCTCTGGCCAGGATCACCTGCGTGCAACACGGGAGAGGAGACGCCAGCTGGCTTTTCACCATGTCTCTGCTTCCTAACCGGGAATGCTGAGCTAATTTTTGGACATGCCTTTTACAGGGGTGAACTTTTGCTGTCTTATCCCTGCTGCTGGACGGGCCGCTGTACGTGATATGCTGCAACCCTGCTGCCACCGCGCTGCGGGTGAAGAACAGGGTCGTCCCCTAAGGACTCATGTGCGCTGTGGTCATATCTGAATGTGGGTCTTCGAGGCTTGACAGAAACACCACGTTCCCCAGTTTGATCGACGGGGAACAGCGCTCTTTACGATCTGTTCTTGCTCTGCTGTCTCTTCGGGTGTTTCTTTTAACCCCCTCTCTCTCACACGCACAAATGCACCGGCAGGCATGCACATCGCCATTGGCGTCTCATTCCTAACAATCTAACTTTGCTGTTACAAGTTGCTACAATAAAACAGAAACAGTAAAGCAATATCCAGTTACATTGGATTACCATAGCGCAGAGACACACCAAACCTCAGAAAAACAGCGACTTGCTGATCCTGTAAAATTTTTTGGTTTTGGGTGAGAAACTAAGGTAGAATGAGGTCAAAACTTCTGGTCAGGGGAAAGATCTTTTTATTCACTCAGGGTGCATACTTGAAAGTATTGTGCTTTCATCTCCTGAGCACTAGTAACCATCTGGGGATGCTCTCCATATGTCCCAATTCCAAAGCAATGTCATTAGTGGTGGCTTAAGCCAAGCACACTAAGAACTGAGGCGAGCCAGAAGTGCACATATGGGCAGCTCACCGGGGCCAGTGGATACATGATAACTGCCACACTTTTTAAAGTTATTCTCCTGTTTTAATCATGTACTGGCCCAAACCCCATGTCATTTCACTAAGCTGGATGTTCTTATTTGGGCGCAGACAAATCAAATGTATAAATAATTTATGTGATACTGAAGCGGTACTACAGCAAGGTTTTGAGAAATCTCTGTGCCATATATAACACATTTATTTCCTAAATTAGGTAGAAAATGCTATAGATTCTCTTGATAAAGATGATAAACTCTGTTCTAGTTTGCTGTTGCATTCAAAATTTAAGATCCCAGTCTTGCATCCACATAATTCGTTTGCAGATCTCTCTTTGACTTTGGTTGGAATGACAGGAAATATTTTATTTACTGTTTCATCATAAGTCTGAAAAATATGTAAGTATCATGTATTTCCAATGAGTACCACTCAGAATAACAAAGTAGAAAAAACCCCATTGTACATTTAAAAAAAGTTGAAGCTTAGAAAGGTAAGGAGTCAAAATGAGTTCTTTTCAGTGTTTGTCTAACCAGATTCTCAGCTCTTATCATACAATGCACACCATATACTAGTATGTCTATGCTGCACTCTAAGCTAACCCAGACGGATTTAAACAAGAATAGTTTTTCTAAAACCTTCTCTTCTTTTGTCTCTGCTGAAACAGCTAGTAATATACACACCATATAGAACTGTGAGTGTTACTGGAATAATGTGTATCTAGTTTTAAACTGAACTCAGTAAACCATGTGTTTTATAACCACCTATAGTATCACTGCATATAGAATAGATAATTTCTAGAGAATAAAATTAGGGCTTCATGTGTTAGAATACAGTTGATAAACATCAGTAATGCAACGGGGAAAAAAAAATGGTATTTCTCCAAGCAACACAGGGAAAACACCAGAAATGGCTACTCAGCTTGTGTTGACTTCACCCCTTTTCCATTTCAGTTAGTTTATAAAGGCTATGTCACTGCTCCTTTGCTGCCATCTAAAATTAATTTGGCCTGCATTTTTTTTAAATCTAACTGAATTGCAGAGAAGCAGGAAAGTTGACATTTCTATTGGACCCTTTGTCGACAGGATCACACAAAATACAAACTAAACAAATACCCCACTATGCAGAAGTTTCACAGAAAGATGTAGTGAATCACCAGGATGTCATTAGGGAAGGCTAGAAAAGCAGTGATCATACTACTTGCAACTGTTGTAGAAGGCATTCACACAGTACCAGGACTTAACCTCTTTTGATAATGTTAAATACAATAAACATCAAAATGTTTTGGTAATGTTTTATAATCTTTTAACACTTGGTATTCAATTCTATGGTAAATGCACGCAGAAAACAATGTAGGCTAACTCCGTAGGAAGATATGTGAAACATGCTAGCAACCAAAGCTAATTAATGTAAATAACTTTCAATTTTAAAATAAAAGTCAGTCTACTTAGACAACAATTACTCAAACACCTTTCCTCAGAAAAGAAAATCCTTTACACCCAAGAGAGCCAGTAAAAGGTATTTTCAAACTTTTAAAATACATGAGTGTGTCTACATACATATCTACATGTATACAAGCACGCATCCTGTTCTGTTATCCTACTGTGCGGCATTTCTAAATCATCAGAGGGTGCAACGTACCTTCCGTGGAGTGACCAGGAACACTTAATAAATAAATAACCAAGTGCCACTAGAACCTGTGTATTTGTTTTTGTGACCTGTCAAATAAACATTAACATATACATCCTTTACTCCCGGTGCTGTGGGCTTACCCCAGTCTGCACTTCGTTCACAGAGATGGTGACTGCTTGCTTGAGTAAGGTCTAACAGTGGAAGTAAAGTTGGCATATCTCAAGGATATCAACATTTACCGCAATATTGGTACTGCTAGTGCTACCACATGGTACAGTATTGGGAAGAAATCTGTTGAATTTGGCATCCAAGCTGAAGCATAGCCAAGGTATTTCAACTACCTATATGACCTCTCATTGAAACTTGTTATGTATATATATCACAAAATACCCATCTTTTCACTAATTAGAAGGAATCACCTCTTTTGGGAACCGTTGAACTGAAAAGAGCAAATTATCCCATTTTTTTCCATCCTATCCTATCCTTCTTTCTGTTCAAGGCAGGACAACTACAAAATTATACCCATCAACATTTCTCACTTTTGCTCACATTACTTTTCTTCTGCTAATCCCTGAGGAACATTGTGAAGAACCAAACACCTCTTGGAAATGGCAGAGCACAATTTAATTCATACTGGTAAGGGTATTTTCAGTTCAAAGCAGCTCAACTTTTCACAGAGTTGGGCAATGTGGTTGGAGTAGTCATTCACTATTAATTCAGATTCCTTCCTCAAAGTGAAGAATGACATCTTATCCTGAAAATTTTTCCAAAGGGAACCTCAGACATGTCTTAATGCTATTTTTCAAATGCTACACCATTCAGTGGTTAAATTACCTAATTCCAAGTATGCTTATGTACTACATCATGATTTTGAATTAAAAAGTCTTGCATGGCTCTATAGTACAAGCAAGCATTGTGAACAGATGACTAAATATTACCTAGCAGTTGCAGAGCTTCTTGTTGAGTCCCATTAACGCTTGGGATATTTAGGAGTGAGGCAAGAGATAACCACTAAAGCCTTTCAGGACCCATACATAGTATACGAATTGCATTAAACCCAAAAATTGTATATCCCAGGACCTAGGTAGACTGGAAAAGAAAAAACTAAAAAGGAAGCAAGACAACATCCACCTACTTCCTCTTCCAAAGGCAAGGGATATATACTGGACATGAACACAGAGGGATCAAGGCAACACCAGATCATAAGGTGGGTCTTCATGGCATAGCTGTACTGTAATTTCTTTTGATTTCATACAGCCAGTAGGGAGATGGTTTTGGGGTTGAGTATGACAGCAGTAAGTTATGTAAATGGAGTTGTGGAGAAAGAGGTAAGAGGCGATGCGTGTCCATATCTACTTCTCTGCGTATAAGTCCCTGGCTACATCTTAGCACTGTGAATGGAAGCTCAAGCCGAGAGGAGCGCTGAGTACCTACTGCTCCACCTGATGACAAGAGCATAAAGCTGGCTGAGTCCTTGTGCTTCAGAGCCCACCTCAGATCCAAGACTCAAGTTATGGGTCCTCAAACGAACCACTGATTCTTAGCATAAATATGCAACATGCCAGAACACAATTCAGGCAAGACCACAACAAATCGTATGTGAGATTCAAGTGTTAATTTCCAAGAGGTGGCAAATGTGGCTTGGAACAAGAATCAGTCCCCGATCTGTAATATATATCATGATTTTGCATGTGCTGCCTGGAAAACCAGCAGTGTTCTGCTTATGTTCAAAAATCAGTAACCTTAATAGCCTCAGTCTAAGGACATGTTTAAAAGCTTGCTAATATTCACAGAAAGATGTTAAAACTCAGTCTGACAGATTCTGCCATGTATAGTCTGTGGTGAGAATGACAGCCATCAGTAAAGGAGAAGAAATGTGGAGAAGGAGCTTTCCTTGAACTGGCTTGTATGTAGGTTACTAACTCGCTAGCTGGCGCAGTGTCAGCCCATCAGTATCTTTTAGCAGGTAGTATAAAACTGGATTCTGGCTCAAGCAGCCAGTTTGAGAGCAGGAACAGAATATGCTCCATCTTCATAGTTAAAAATGAAAATTAAAGTCTATTATTACATATTTTTTACTCAGCTTTCTTTTTGCTTTCCATGAAGTCTCACATATTTGCTTCCTTCTTTAGCAATCTTTTTGCTGGTGGAAGACAATATTTACTATCAGGTATGAGGGGGGCAACTCATGAGGTGTCTGTGCTTGATGCATGAGGAATGCGGAGCCAGACTTTTGTGGATATTTAGCATGCTGACAAAACTGCAACAACATGTGTGACAATCAACAAAGCTCTGTGCCTGAGCGCTTTGAAAAGTTGTTGAAACACCTTCGAATTTAGCCTCAGGAAAGGCTCCCCTACAACAGATCAACATCATCATCTCACTGGCTTGGATGATGAAAGTGAGGCACAGAGATTCTGATAAGCCCTCCTGCAGGCAGCCATGTGGGAGGGTGTGCCCAGGGTTTTCCCATGACGTTTCAACAGCTGAAGGCAGAGTTATAATGGAATTCCCTTCCTCTCACCCACAAAACAAGGAGTTACTATTTTTTTCAGACCCAATGGGGCTACGTGGGAGCCAGTACCATGTGTTTATGGTCCCTATACCTGCACTGCTCCTGCGTTACCCTCTCAAATGCAGCAACTTTGAACTCCTTACTCCCATGAAATCTGGAACATGGAGAGCTGCAGAGCAACTAACTTAGTCTCAGTGTGTTCCACCTTTCCGTTGGAACAAATCCAGCTTGTGGTTATGGGAAGATGAGACAGTGCTGGCTTTGGATGTAGCACTGGAGGGGGCCCAAGGGGGTGCAGATAGCGCTACTGATTCTTTCACACCCATCCCAGGTGCAAGGAAGATCAAAAAGAAAGATCAATTCTGTAGTGACAATGAATGTAGGGAAAGAAATGTAGTTGTTGGGGTAGCAAGTGTGTTCACAGAAAGTCAAGGGAAACTTTTCAAATTAAATGCCACATTAAGACAGTCCTATTTCAGATGTACTGAGAACCCACAGTTCCTGAGAGAGTCACTAGGGACTACTTGCATAAATAGAAACTGACCTCTGAGTCCTGGTTCAGTCAAAGTCATGTCTATGTACCAAGGCTGTGAAATCCAGATACAAGATCATTCTGAAGCACAAAACCTTATTTTTATGGTCTTAATAAATTCGGCATTGATGAATTCTTCCATAGCTATTCCACTACTGGATATCTATATGCTCTCCATACCCTTTTGCAGTCACATGGTACACTACAGCACACCAACAGCTGACAGACCTACAAGACTGGGCACACTATACACTGTTCATAATAATTTGGGGACCAGAGAAGTAGCAGGTGGGCAGCTCTAAACTACATTGCAACACCTTTGGATATTATGCAAACTCTATGCTCCAAAATTCGAGTTAATCAGTTTTTGAAGTGGCTCACGACAATGTCATCAACCCCAACTTCCCTTCCACTTTCAAAAACTGAAATCTGCACCCACAAGATTGCAACCGCAGGTTCAGATAACCAATGTATTCCTATCGCTTTGCGTCTGTTTCCCAGTTTCTGGATTGTATTTTGTTTTCCTTAACAACTTCATGATTCCAGTCTTACCCAAGTCAAATGAGACTTTGCCCAAAACCCATGGATACGGAAAATCCTGGTTTGCAGGATGATGTTGACAATCTGCATTCACCCCTTCCTCTGGAGCCTGCTGGATTCTCCGTGCTTTCCTCAACCTCATTCTTTTCCCTGCCTTTCTTCCTTCTCTACAGTCATCTGCCTTTCTGGTCTCAAGGTACTCTTCCCTGATATTTTGCCAGTATATTCTGTTTAAAGTACACCAGGTTTGCTGTGACTCGGAGGGCTACTGTATTTGCCTGTGAACCTGGGCCATGGCCAGAGGCAGCTTTCCTGAGCTCAGCAGGGGTTCTTTGCTTAGGTGGAAGTGCTTTGGGGCACTGCACCTGGAGATGCTGATGCACCAGATGCAAGGCAGTGACAGTAGATTTTGTGGCAGTAGCAAAGAAAGAGCGAGCTCGGCCCTCAAAAGCTTTCTTCAGTCTGCGAGGGAAAAAATGGAAGAGGTAACCGTACTGAGAAGGTGCCAGGTGTAATGAAAGACTTCTGCCCAGTCTTTCATTTCAAATACACGTTTTAACAACTTAACAACCAGTTTAAAAAAACCCAAGGTATCATTACTATTACTCCCGAAGCCAGCCGAGGCTGGAACGCGTTGCGCATACCAATGGTAAAACAGGCTCTCTGCCCCACGGAGCTTACACAGACGCAGCAGACCGCTGGTAAAAGCAAGGCAGGGAACCGAACCAGAGAGAAAACATCGTTTTCCTTTCTCTGCCTTTACAAATAAAGCAGATAATGCGAGTCGGCCTGACTGCCGGCCGGCGGCCGACGGCTAGGCAGCGGTGCTACAAGAGGAGAGTCCTGCCGAGCTGCCTGCAGAGCCCAGGGGCCGTCGGGCAGCCGAACGCCCTTACCAGATGTGCAGGCAGCTGAGCACCGCGAAGACGATGCCCACGGCCAGGGCCAGCGGTACGGCAAGGACCAGCGTCAGCAGCTTGTAGAGCAGGTACTTGCTGAGCTCGAAGAGAGCGTGGCTGCACACCCACACCTTGTCGAAGGAGTGGGTTAGCTCGGGCTCCGCGATCACGTCCTCGAACCCCAGCTGCAACGAGAGGGACGCTCTGCCGTTGAGCCGGAGCCGGCACCCGGGGACCCCGCCGGGGAC